ATTTAACGTAATGCGTTCCTCTGATCGTTGAAAAAAATATATATACCTTTTATATAGTAATTTTTTGACTGCCTTCTTTATAGTATGTATCACAATCATTTTAAGGTTTAGCATGTGTAATAGCTAGCTTGTAATATCGTTTCGAAGCATTTCTCATAATTTGAACACCTGATCGGTAAAGCCATGGAATGATAGCCCGTTGAATAATTTTAGCAGAGTCTGTTCGGGTTTTCATCCATGATCCAAAAACCCTTTGAACTATTTGAGTCGCGTATCTTAGGTATTTCAAGGCAACTATAAATGTAAATAAGCTCTAACTATCGTAAAAGTAACCACAATCTAAATATTACGTATTAAAATTTCGCGTATAATTAGCAAGCTCATCATAAATAACAATATGGTCATCTTCATCTTCATGTAAACAATCTCTAGGGCAAGTATACTGTTTAGATGAGTTATAGTACCATGACACACAATATCCATAGTATAAGTAAGATTCCATGTTTATCGGTAATATATTTAAAATACTTATCTTCAGTTTAGCCCTTGAATGAGTCTGAATAGTCCAATTCTAAGTCAACTGGTTCTGAGACTGATACTTAGATATTTTTATTTCAGAGTAGTAGCGCTTCGAAAAGCCATTATCCTTGACAATAACTAATGATTTGCGTGGATGTATGATTCCATTCCATCATCTATTATCCATAGAAGAATGCTTAATATTACTCGTCCAAATCATGAGACTTCACAAATACGTCTTAATCTAATGTTGTTTTTTGGATTGTATTTGTTCAGATTGATTATCCTCATCTTCAGCATAATAATAATAATATCTTTTAAATTATTTTTGTTTATTACCATTATCATGCTGAGTTTCTGCTGTTTGTTTATGAGATAACAGCCTCTGACCTTTTAATATTTAAATTATCATAAGATAAATTCTTTTGTTTGTTGATGGAGTTTCTTGATCCAAATCTATATCATAATCTTGGCTAGGATCCTCATCAAGTACAGTCGGTGCAGATCATCTATACTCAAGTTAAAATTTTTGAAATATCATGTGATGCGATGCACATGTTAGATTTTAAAAAAATCCACCACTATTCAATTCGGCTTTAAAAAGGGAGTCAATTCATTTAAAAAAAAATTTTTTTGTCAGTTTTTTTGAGAGTTGTGCTCAGATACTGCAACAATAATTTTCGTGTCACAATATTTTTGAATTATATGACCAAATTTGGGGATGATTTTCTTTGTTCGTTTGAACTTTTTTATTCGTAAAGAACTTTTATTATTAAAAAAAGGGAAATAAATAATACAAATATGTTGTAAAAAACATTCTATGAAAAAAAACTTGTTACACGAAGTTTACTTAGTCTCGATTTCTTAAACGTATAACAAAATTTGGAATTTTCAAAATGTTAAGGCTCTGCCAATTTTTGTTTAAGAAAAAACTAGCCGATAAGTTTTGAAGCTTGAGTCATGAACAATAAAATTTATTGGTTAACTTTTTTAAAATGATATAATTTTTTTTTGTTTTAGTATTTTGAAGCTGACCAATTGTTACTATAAGCAATAATGATTATAGATGGTCTGCACCTTATTTGTTTTATTCATTATCGGAATCTTG